AACTTCCAAATTTTTCAATTTTTCTGAAAAGTTCCGTTGAAGTTAAGATAATGTATGCTAATTTTGCGTTTTCTTCAAACTGTAAGATAAAGCATCATATTATCACTCAATCTATCGCTGTTTTTGAGTTTATTTTTTGAAATTTGAAGAGGACACTTATCTCTAGTAAATCCTATTTAGCAATTTATTCTTTAGCCTTTAACAAGCCGTATTATTCTTTGTCATCACTTCATTAGCGGGAATAGAGTGTTGAACACATTTTGAAGCAATGTTTATGGTTAAATGTAGCTTTGATGTTCGCAAAATTGTATCAGAATCAATGCTTCTTTGGACGTCGATCACGGAATCGGTAGACGCGATTTTCGGTGATCCACTGATCCGCCAACAATACAGTAATTGAACCATAGTAAATCATATTCATCCAAAATGCGAACCACCAACATTTTGCAAATACTCCATCACCAATTGCTTCGGCAATTTGCCGATTCGTCTCTTGTGTTCCATAGGCAGCGTTCATATAGATATATCTACTAAAGTAAATAATCCAAGCTATGCAGCAACGAAAATCGAGAACATCTTCCCATTCATTTGATAGTGGACGTGGATAGCTCCATTCAGTGATTCGTTTCCAACCATAGGATTCCAGTTCATAGTCTGCACCACAAATTTGGCAGTTTGTATTATGTGTAACTTCAACCCACTTTTCCAAACATGCCGAATGAGTTCGAGCCACTGTTCCCTTACAGTTGCATGGGCAAATCAGCTTCGAGTGTTCTTGGCTGTCGTCCAGGCAGATTCTGCACAGAGCTTTTCCATCGGTGCTGGTTGTGGTTGGCTTGCTTTCATTCAAGGGTGCAAGTTTTCTGACGCTGTCCGCTGTGGGAGTAGCGAAGACCGAGTTGGATGAGTTTGATCCAGTAGGAAGATTCTTCGGAGTGGTCGAGATTGGCGAGTTCAGCATGTTGAGTGAGGGTAACCTTACTTCATGGCTTGCTTTTATGCGATAGTATCAGGTTTTCTACTTATCATTTGCTGTTTATCCGTAATTTGCTCTGTTCTTTCAAAAAGGTTTGGTTGCTTTTCCATATTTTTAAAAATTTCTACTACTTTCAAATTGCCAATATACCAAAGCTTAAGCTCGTCATAGCTCTTCATTTCATTTTTCTTTAGCAATTCATTTATCGCTGCTTTCAATAGTTGAGTTCCGAAGCTAGCTAAGATAGCTGCACTCAATTTCACTTGATTTTTCTAGTGATTACAAACTTTGTACTTTCTTTCCATACA